ATGTTGTACTTCTACGTTGCAGTCTTCTTTCTTCCCCATGATTTCGAGATTGTGGAACACTTCCCATCTCCGTGTTTCGAAACACTTATTCTTACTCTTGTTAAGAGCATAATTTAAAAAAAGTTTCACTTGAATGTTCACCCACATACATTTCTCCTTACAGTATGTCACTGATTATGGGGTTTTTATCCTTTTCGCGTAAATCACTTCGTGTGTGTGTAAGACTTCCCGAGTATCAGAGGTGGACTAGTCTGAACTACCTGAAAGAGTTAAGATGACTGCCTACACCTTTCGTTCGCACCTTACAGGCATCGTTTGTCAGATTTTGTTTTACGGAAATGGGATCGTGTCGTGGTCACGGATGTTACACGGAATTACGTCTAAAATTAGCCCTTCGGGTGCTTTATTTGACTTGAACATAGTACGATGATGTCATTTTGATGGATGATAAAAAAATTGAAATAACTAAATATACCAAAGGTAATGAAACAATAAACCTGAGTTATGCTGAACTCCTTTACACATAACTCTGACAAATAAAAGAGGACATTCCATGCGAAACGAATACCTTGAGGGAATTATTTGAAACCCTGGCCACAGGGGATCCGCCGCCAAATACCATGAGAAAAGAAGAAAACGAGGAGTAAGAGAAGGCGTGCTTGGAGTAATTGTATTAACCAATTCCTAATAAATAACAGATTACTCAGGGTATTAGTCAAAGTTCATTAAAACAACGGAATGAAGGCAGAGTTCGTCGGAGAAAAAGACGAATCGTATCATATAAACTTACACACAAGCTCTGAAAATCGAGATCCGAAAGAAGCTGACAGCAAAAAAAGGCAGTTGATCAGGGAAAATAGAGAAAAATAAGGCAACATGACCACGGTCCTGATACAGAGAACACAAAAAGAAACAGAACACAGCCAGAGTATTGTCTGATCGGGGAATGGATATGCAATGGTTTCGGGTTTGTCAACACAAACGGAATGAACACAGAGTTGCATTTGAAGCGCAACGAACAGAAGCTCAAACTCAAAAGCGATGAAATCCACCTTGTGTGAGTCTTCGACCCATGAATGCCCCAGAAGGCTGTTGGATCCCAACTGTATTGTTTTGAGTGAGGAATAGTTGAGACATAGATTCGAGATCTTTGAGGAATCCCACCGGAGTGATCATATGTGTGGATCCCAACATTACTTCCCAATTCCAACCAACGCCACCACCTCCGGGAAGAACACACGATCCGGTTCCGTCCGGGGGTGCGCGTCCTAACGTGTGCCGATCACTCTCTGCCAGACGGGTATCCACACACTGTAAAACAAAGTGATAATAAGACAGAAAAGAAGGACAGTGGTGAATGCTTGGTGCGAAATAACGCCCTGCAACAAAATGAAATAGAGTTTTAAAATATGTGTGAGAATTATACTAGGAAAAGCCTATTTAAGTAAAGTTGGCAGATTTCCTGAAGTGAAGAAGAATCCGTTCATCTATAAAAGCCTCTTAGAAATCAAGAATAAAACAGTTTCCTAACAAAGTCAGTAAAGTGGTACAAAGAAAGGAAACAGTACAAATGGACGCAAAGAATTGATGCACTTCAGAAGAAGGTGAACCAATATAAGCTATCTTTCTGAAACAAGGAGTGACAACGAATTGGTTAACGTTACGCATTTACAGCTTCGGACTCTTTCGATGGAAGAGGTCGGATTTCTAAGTTTATTGCATTTCTACGCTCCTCCAAAACCCGTAGGGTAGATTGATGTTCTTCTAGCATATCACAATAGGTCATGCGACGTTTCACTGAAGTTGAAAGGTCGTGTACAATGTACTACCGTTCATTCAGTTCTGCTTTAGGGTTATGATACCTTGAATTTCAGGGCAAAAGTGATCCATCGACTAGAAATTTAGCACTATCGGTTTTTACATAGTTCAGCCTACGTGGGAAGGAGCGAACAGGTTAGTAATCTGGAAGTAAGTTGTCGTGTGTTTGGGAGTTTATCGGGGATAAATTTGCTGGATAATCAAATTCAGACTAGTATGATTCGCAGGCTAAGGCACGTGTTACTAATGCCGAGCTGTCGTTTCTCGCTCCGCGCTTTATTCAGTTTAGCCGTTCCGGGCTGCAGTAAACCCCATAGAGGTCAACAGATTAAGTGGAGACGAGGCATGAAGAAATGCACGGAGAGATTAGGTAGAACACGTGTCACGCACCTTCCACGTTGGGGTCCGAAAGACTCTGTAACTGGTTGGTTGGAGACATTGAAGGGTATCGCAGCGAGCCGACAGCAGTGGGGTTCTTGGTGTCATTTCTTATCAGACCAGAAAGCTTGGAACGGTATATTTCAGTTGCAGTTTGAACAACAACTAACCACGCATATTGTTGGTTGCTGTCTTTTGGCTGCCCATTTGGATGAAGAATAGGAGAAGAAAGGAAACTTCACAGTGGAGTTGAATTATTTTTTGGTTGTGTATGCATTTGAGTTTGATGGACGAGTACTGCCAGGAACCTAACCGCAAGGCAGCGGTTAAAACGGATTGGAGGTCCATTAACTTGGATCGATTATTCCTCCAACACGTTTTACCGACTGAGACGCCGACTCAAGTCGAACCCCAAACCTGGGGAACCAGGAGACTGGACTTTGTCTGACCTCTACCCATTGAGCTGCCAGGCATGATTAGATCTTTGGCTCGTTGGGTCATAGAGGTGCGCAAGCCATCACACCACGCCAAGATGCAGTCTCGTCGTGACGGTAGTTTCCTGTCAAGCAATGTAGGACTCACCCATTTAAAAACCTTGCTATAATCTAAGTAGTATACCTCCACTGCTGCACCTTGATCTAGATGACCTGTAGTTTCATCCAGAAACGAGTAAATTAGTTAAACACTACTTGTTCCTGGTATACTCATGCGCCGGAGATAGAAGTCTATGAATCACCAGATACGTACAGATTTGCCTTCTGACTATTCGTTCAAGTTTTTCAGTTTTCAGTTTGTACAATCATTAACCATGCACTATCGTGCGCCGGTTTTGGTTGCTATCTTTCGGCTGC